TCTTTGTTTCAAAAAATTCTAAAGAAAACTTTGTTTACAGTGAATAAAAAACCACTTTCGAATAAGCTTTAGATAGGGATTCTATGTTAAACGTTTCAATTTTGAAGTGGAATATCTCGATTTTTAATCCCGCAACGAGTACTGAGCTTCAAAGTATATATGTTCAGAACACTAAAACAAGCTTATTCTGTAAGTTTCAGAAAAATCTAAAGAAAATGGATTTTTCGGAGAACGTCCTTAACATTGATCAATGTTGATGAACTTTGATTAAGCATAAAAAGTTAGAAACCTAATTGAATTATTTAAATAACGCTCGACGTCTGCAAATAATTTTGCAAATTCTAATTTTGTTAAAATATTGAAAAGCATTGTTTTGATCAATAACCTTTGCAGAAATGGCAACTAGGTACAGTATTTATACCAGACAGCGTGGGCTATTTAATCGGGACCAACTTCTTCGGCGTAATAGCGTATCGTTACGGGCGTAGCAAAGTGGCGATCCTGGCTATGTTCGTGGTCGGTGTTAGCGCCATTCTAATCCCGTTGGCGAACACAATGTCACAGTTGATATTCCCTCATCTAGGAATGGGTCTGGGCATCGGCGTCGCGGATGCAGCCCTAGTACCATTACTAGCCAGCTTAGTAGATCGAAATGGCAATTATGGACCCGTTTATTCGATCCAACAAGTGGCTGTCAGTTTGGCTTACTCCTTAGGTAAGACACTCCAATCCGAAAATTAAGCCTAATTGTATATATAGAACAAAAGAAAATTTTAGAGAATAGAAATATAAAGTGAAAGTCAAATCTGCCCTTAGCAGACGCTGATTTCTATGAGACAATTTAAGGTTAAAAAGAATTCGAATATATTATAGGAAATATATACTGCGTAAATCGCTTTTTTTAAGGACCCATCACAGGCGGCGAAATGGTTAAAGCCATTGGATTCCCGTGGGTTATGCGAATCGTGGGCATCGTGAACGTGGCGTATTGTCCGTTGTTAATATATCTCATGTTTGAACGGAGGAAGTTGTTGGCGAAGAAAGAGGAAAAGAAGGATTACGAAACGTTTCAACAATCTATTACACCATACGAAAGATTTCACGATTCCGACGAAGATCTTTGACAATAAATAATTCATTTAGCAACAATCACAAACTGAATATCATATTAATTAATTCGGAAAATTTTGTAAATTGCTGTATACGTTAACATTTGTTTCTTTCCATTTCAAAAGATACATTGTGTCGGTTACTCGCTATGTTTTTTAAGACGTTATATCTCCTAATTATTATATAATTTTGGCGAGCCATTGTCTTCATTTTCCTAGACAATCGCACATTAAATATTATTAAATCTGTTTTTCGACACCTCAAACTAGTGTCTAGTAATGTTATTGTGTCCCCAATTAAGTGCCTTATACAGAATTATATTTTCATCGTAATTGATAACCAAGTGAATTATTGGCCGAACAACATCCCCGAGGTTGTCATCCATGGCACGACGATATTTCTCGGATCGAAGAGCAGGAATTCGCTGAATTCGCAAGAGCGGTACAGGAAGACAAGAAATGCGCGCTTCTACTAGTGGGAACTGACGACGATCGATCGGCCACTGCAGCCGATAGCTCTGAAAGCTTATTAATGCACTCAATCTACAGCGAAATTCGTTTACGTTGCATTAACGATTCTACAGATTGCCGCAAGCATTGACTTGTCATTAGCTCACGTAGATCGCCGTACAGTATACAATGTATTCGATCAATCGTGTGTCCCACAATCGATTGCGTGCAAAATCGGATGTTACGAGAAATTTGTGCGCGGAATTTAGAAACGCGAGGAAAAGCTAAAAATCAATAATATTTTCCCAAATATAAGTGAAAGTAGACTTAATTTAGATATATAATTTTGTGAAATTTTTATATTTTGGTTGCATTTGAATCTTTTATTTAAGTCAAATAACATAAACATTAATGGGCTAATGAGAGTCACAGCTGCGGTAATTCGTGCGAGAAAGAAACAATTTTTATTATATATAATACTTATTAAACGTTTCAGCTCCAATTCGGGCCATCCTCAGTAATTCGCATCGATATAACAATCATTTCGTCTTCATGGCTGGACAAGAGAGTGGCAACTCCATCAATCCATAAATTTTGTCTCAAGAATGAAAAATCTCGTGGCAGTGAATAGAAAGAAATTCTAAATATGATTTGCCGTTAGTATGTTAAAAACAATAAAAAGAAGAAAAAGGAAATTGGAAATAGAACTCACCTGTACAGCCATGTAAATTCACTAATAATATAAAATTGTTTAGTACAAGAAATAAAGTTGGTCGCAAAGAAACATTATGACTGTGAGAAAGTCAACGGACGATATTCGACTAAGTGCGGCAATCGCACAACAAATATAACAAACTTATGCGCAAAGAGCTGCGTAAAAATACAAAATTACGTACGGTGATTGAAAACGAACCTTTACAATTTATTGGAATTTATAATTTTTTAACGAAAGAGTTAAATGCAGAAATTGATGTAAATTTAGAATCAAATGTAAACATTAATGTAAATTATTAAGAATAGACAAATACGAATGGTGTAAGAAATCGGTGTTAGATTGCAGATTTAAGCCATTATTTTGTAACTTGATATGGAGCATTTCAGTAATGCGTCGTCTATACAGCCATCTCTCAGAATATACAACCTCGACACCATCCCAATCAAATTCATGGTTCCATTCTAAACGGTGTTCACTTAGTACAGAAAGATTACCATCGCTTTATTGGATATCATTTTTGTGTTCTTTGACCCTTGTTCTTAAAGTTCGTTTGGTTTGGCCAACATAAGACGCATCGCAATCTCTGCAGTTAATTTTATACATTACATTCTTTTTTTGTAAATTAGATAGGCGATCCTTCTGTGGTCCGATGAAACAATTAAATTTATTGAGGCTATAAAATGATAAATTTACATTTAAATCTCTCACAACCTCCCTAAATTTTCCATCAATTCCCTCGGTGTATGGAATCGTGAACCATGTCTTGATCTCCATATCGTCTTTGTCATTCTGAGTCGTAATGTCATTATTTTGTTTTAAAGTCTTATTGTGTAATAATGATTTTAGTCTTAAATTAATAGTGTTGAAAATAAAATCCAACGGATAGTCATTCATTAATAATGTGTCAATAACAAAAAGTAAGTTCTTTTTGTGATATTTAGGTACTGACAACAAGAATGTTCTATCTATCATACCAATAACAGTGCACTTTTTTTGTGAAAGGGGATGTTGTGAAAAAAAGTTAAGGTATCTACGAGAAAAGGTAGGTTTATGGTACCAGTCATATTCTAAAGAATTGTTATTATTAATTATAGTGATTTCCAAAAAATTGAGGGTCGAGCCACCTATTTCCATTGTGAATTGTAATCGAGGATGAAAGGAATTAAAAACTTTTAAGATCTCAGAGGTTCTTTCAAGGAACTGCCAAAGCGATGTCATCAACATATCTAACGTATAAAGGAATGTGGAATTTAAGTATATTCAAAGCTTTTCTTTCCAAATCTTGTAACACGACATCAGCAATGACCGGAGACAATGGAGAACCCATAGGCATGCCGAACTTTTGTCTATAAATCACATTGTCAAA